CCACCACGCCCACAAGGGCCTGCCGGGAAAGGTGGGCTCGGGACGCAGCGCGCAGGCGCCTACAGAACCACGTGCCTTCGGGCTCTCGGAAGGCGGGACGAGCCTCTGCCCGGGCGGACCCAAGACAGAAAACGGGAGGTTTCCGTAGGTGGCTTGTCTTCCAAAACCCTGCACAAATAACTGTCTCCTTCTCAGAAATCCCTACCTCGCCCTCCAGGTATTCCTTCCCTCCTGCCACCCTCTAGCCCACAGTGGCAGGGCTCGCGGGCAGGAGGTTAAAGACCCCCTTCTCCCTCTGCCCTGCTCATCCACCCGCAGCAGCTCTCTCGGCCTCCCAGTCGGACTCCCCCTGGCCCCGCCTCCCTCCGCGATCCCACCTATCAGCGCCTCCGACGAAGCTCCAGTCTCTCCCCCTCCACGCACCTGCCAGCTCGAGGTGAGCTTAACTGAGCTATCCAATTACTAAACCGCCCCGGCTTCCCTAGTTCCTCCTCGGAATCATTCAACAGAAGCCCAAACTCTACAGGAAGCCTGTCCCTACTCCCCCTTACAGAGACACTCGGAGTAACACGCCTCCAAGTTGATCTTGTCCAGCTCAGTGCATCAGTAACTAGATACATGCTGTGGAGCTGGATGGACTACGAAACTCAAGCCTTGGCTCTCTGATCTTCAGTAAATTCCTTAATGTCTAGTCCTCAGTTTTCTCATCTGTAAAAATCGAGATAGTAACAATAGTTTCCAAAGATATGCTACATGTTGGCATACTGCCTGGCAACAGTTCCTGTTCCCGACAAACTTGTTGCTATATCACCATCCGTGTGAAAACTATCCGACCCCCTCAGGAGTGGGTTAGTATTTGCCCTGCCTGCGCTCCCAGCATAGGTATTTCACCTTTCATAACATCACACTACATTGCACTTTGTTGCTTTCACAAGTCTGCTTCTTGCACTTAAACTCCTTGAAGGTAGGGAACTTGGAAGTTATATTCCCAAACTACAGAACGCCCTGAGTGACGCAGAATGTAGCTATGCAAATCAGCATTTTGCTATTTCCTGTGACCAGGACTTGTGCTGAGAATTACTGCCATTCTGAAAGAGCACTGTTTGGGTTGCTGTAACATTTCTTATAAATTGCACCCGATAATAACAATAAGAATGTCTTCTAGGAAGATACTCCTAATTTAAAAAGCTAATTCCATTTCTAAACTATAGTTACCATCATTTAAATTGATAAGAATTAATTTTATCATTTAATAAGATAAAAATGTTATGTAAAAATTAATGCAAAGATACATTCTGCTATGATATTCCAATAAATAAAACAGAGTTATCTTTATTCTGCAATATAACATATATTTCCTATTTTTCTTGATGCCTGAATACATCTACTTATTTTCAAGTATGTATATTTCAGTTTATCCCCCTTCTATAGGAAAATGCCTAAATTTTTATTTTAAATTGTCAGTAGAAAATAGCTGATTATCTAAAAAAGAAAATATTTTACTTATATAAATGATGTAGTAATGTTATTACTAAATATGAGTCTTAGTTATTATAAAGTGACGAAAGGATAATCCATAAATGTATTTTTTGTTTACTGCAAACATAAAAGGACAGCAAGGAAAAAAAATGTCTACTCTCTGAATGCCAGGTTTGGACTCTTTCAATTAGTTTTTTTTCTTGCTCTAGTAGAACAGTGGTATTAAGAGTCACTCAATGGTCAAAGCAGAAATCCTCAGGAAGAAAATTTTGTTTTTTATTTACTATTAATTTCAGTATTAGATTTATTCAAGGATATACAATGGGGTCTCATCTCTCCAACCCTCATTGCTATGCCAAGGGCCTATGTATATTCCAGATTACAGTTATAACTTAAAAGAGCAAGATAAAATACTTATGAATGCATATTAATATAAAAAATGCTGATTAAAAGTTTTCTTTGGAGGAGAGAACTATCTGGTGAACTTGATTCTTTTGTCTAGTGATTAGGTCAAAGCATCACAACTACTGGTGGTTTGAGAATGAATGGTGGCAGAGTTGATCTCCCCACTTAAAACCCAAACCAAAGTACTACCACTTCTGAAGACTGGTTGAATTAAAAAAACAAAACACAGGAATAAAAATGTACATATAATGACAATGTCTTAGTAAATTCTGGCTGCCATAACAATGTACCAGAGACTGAGTGGCTTATAAATAACCAAAATTTATTTCTCACAATTCTAGAGGCCGGAAAGTCTAAGACCAAGGTGCCAACAGATTCCATGCCTGCTAAGTGCCTCCTTACTGATTCATTGAGAGGCATCTTCTCACTGTGTTCTCACATGGTGGAAGAAGTGAGGAAGCTCTCTGGGGTCTCCTTTATAAGGGCACTAACCCCATCATGAGGGTTCCACCCTCATGACACAATCACCTCCAATTCTACCTCCTAATACCATCACTTTGGGGGCTGGGATTTCAACATATGAACCTTGGGGGGGTGGGGACACAAACATTCCATAAATACAAGAATTTCTATTCATCTGTAAAGTAGCCGGTATTGTTTATATGTACTAATTCCATGGTAAAATTAGACCTTATTCACTTAAATGAAGTATATATCCATTTTGATCAATAACACTTTACATGAAAGAACTTAACCAACAAAGTTATATTAAAAAGACAATAAAACATTAAGTAGAATAAATGTCAAGTAAATAATGTTGATTCTTCTAATGACAAAGAAAAATACCTAAAGTGATTACTATACTGTATTTTTGCTAATATCATGCCAAAGAATGTGGCCCCCAGAAAGACATCTTGCTAAACTTTTTTGAGGTGGATGCCTGGTTTTAGTATAACCAACATTACCCTAACCCATGTAGCCCTGGAAAAGGAGGAAGGGGCTGGCAGCCTGTCCTATTGGTGATGTCAGCAGATCATGCCCCAGTTTCACAGAAAGAGGTGAGCTGAGGTTCTTCCCATTCCTACTTCTCTAGCAACTTCCTTATGTGTTTTCCAGTCACTTTCTAATCTACATGTTAAAGGATGTCTCACTAAATTTACAGAAATCTCCCATACTCAAAACAACTAGTAGGAAGAAAAAGTCATTCAACAAATATTAATATTATATAGATATGGTTTTATTAATCTAGCATTATTTAATGAAGATGAACAGCAATTTAAATACAAAATTCCTTCTCAAGCCCTTTGACAGATCTCATCCCCTTCAGGTCTAGGAAGGTACAAGTAAAATACTTTTGGAGGCAAAAAAGACATAAAATGTTTCCTTCTAGGCTGTATCAGTAGCCAGGGAATCTCTATTATCCCTTTGGGGGCGGATGACTAAGGCATGCATGAAACCACGCCCCCAAGGCAGTTTCCACAACCTCTGCAGGGAAAGTGACCAAGAATTTATTATGCAAATCAGAACATGGTTGAGAGTGAAAGAGGGTGCTGTTAATATTTACACTAGAACATGAGGTGTAAGTAAATCAGGAGTGGCAAACTGAGAAACACCCTATAAATACAGGGTGGGGCAAAAGTAGGTTTACAGTTGTGAGTGTGCAAAACACTAAGTTTATTCTTGTATTTTTATTTATTAATTATTGTATTATTTTCCATACAAACAAGTGTAAACCTACTTTTGCCCCACCCTGTACAGTTAACCCTTCAGTAATGTGGGGGTTGGGGCACCTACATCCTTGCAGTCAAAAATCTGTGTATAACTTTTGACTCCCCCAAAACTTTACTAATAGACTACTCTTGACTAGAAAGAAGCCTAGCTGATAACATAAACCATTGAATAATATATATTTTCTATATTATATACTGTATTCTTACAATAAAGTAAGCTAGAGAAAAGGTTAAGGAAATCATAGGAAAACACATTTACAGTACTTTACATATTTATTGAAAAAAATCCATGTATAAGTGGACCCGTACATTTCTAACCCTGTTGTTCAAGGGTCAACTGTACATCTTCTGTACCTCTAAAATATAAGGGTAAGCGGGCATTCTGTACATTGCTTCTCATTCCAATTTGGAAGACTCTCCGCAATAGAATTTTGCATTAAGAGTTTGCAGGAGGCCTAGGAGGGAAGCCTGTGTGAGAGGAATAATGCATATCTTATGTGTTTATGCTTTTAAAGATAACTATGGTTTGAAACAGGTCAATTAAGTTAACATAAACTTCCCCCCCCACATTTATCTTTTTAAGAATTTTATTAATTTCTTAGGGTATACTTCCTTCCCTTTCCCAGAAAAGGCATGCACCCTAGAAGCAAATGCCTTCATCCCCGCTTCCAACTTTCTTTAGGGAAGATATATCCCCCTAAACTTACACATACAACTCCAACTCTATCTTTTCTTCCTACTGAATTATTGTTTATTTTTAATTGTGGTAAAATACACATAGCATAGACCTTACCATCTTACCGTTTTCAGTGTTCAGTTCAGTAGTGTTAAGTATATTTATCCAACTCTACCTTGCAGACCAGATGACTAGCATATTAATGAAAGAAATACTACTAGTTAATGCAATATTGAGTCTGAACACAGGCTTATTGGCAATTAGAGACATTCCAAGATATTTAGAAGCAAGGGCAACAATGGCATAGATTCTGTGGAATATGTAGAATTATCTAGGTTTTAGTCTGCCTGACAAGTTTCTCTCCCTATTACTGTAGCAAAAGTTTTCTAAGCCACTGTATAAATTGGGAGATTTATTTGATCGCCTCCCTTGCGTGGAACCTCAGTTAAGGAAATAAAGTTCAGACAGTTTTAAAGGGAAGCCAAGATAGTTCTGTCATTGTGGAAAATACTATCATAGTCTATGAAACAGTGTACAAATAATGCAAAATAATACTATAAACTATAGACTGTTATATTACTAGTCATTTGAAAAAATACTTCTGTAAATATATCATGAAAGAATTCTAAGTTCTAGGCACTTAAAACATTTTCTTTAAAATGTTCTATACTGCATATGCTTTCTAAATGATTAAGCCTTTAAGTAAAATATCTGATCTTCAGAAAAGCAAAAGGATTTCCAGATATCAGTAAATCCTTGTTTGCCTAGGATTACAAAATATTTTTTCTGTATCATAAACTGATAGTAAGTAAGCAAGCACTAGTGAGATAACTAAAGATCAGGGCAAACATGCTCACTGAGAAGGCCTTATAAAGGAAAACTCATCCACATTTTGAAATAAAATATACCTAAAATCAGGGTCAATTTCCAGCCAGAAAGTACCAGTCTGGGCCCTGTGGCTGTTTCTGAAAGGCCTGCATTCTGGATGCTCGGGGTCTGTGCCTCTTACCAGTGGTTAAATACTTTATCATCCCTACTTATTACTCTATATGACCACTAACTGATAAACATAGAAAGACAGCTCAAAAATGTCAGACATAAAAAGACGTTCGAATAACCAGCAGGTTGCTCTGAGAGAAACTTGTGTCTCTCGCGGCCACTTCAGTGATAAACGCCATCATCAATGAGACTGAAGGAGCGCGGCCATGACAGGAAATGCACAGCTATAATTAGTATTAGGTGCAGGTGTTTCGGATCCTCTTAGTTAGTAAGTTTACAAACCCATTATGTATTAAAGCAAAACACCACCTAGAGATGGGCGCTGTGGGGGCTCGCCTGGCCGGCGGGCGGCTTGCGGTTCGCTCGTATGTTGAGGACGTAATCGTGACGGAAGGAGGAGCGCACGGTGCGGTTCATGAGGGGCTGCAGGGGGCGGAAGTTGTCCACCATTCTTTTTTCTTTCTCCCCCGCAGAAGTGAAAAGCAGGGTCCGAAACTGCTCAAGCTAGAAATAGAAACAGGAAGCATAAGTAATTTCAATGGAAAACCAGCTTCACTGCGTGGATAAATTCCTCTTGTTTTTGCAACTCTGACACAGCCCTCCGACACTGGGCACAGGAGCGCTTCCTTCTGGGTGGGAATGGCTTCCCCACTGGACAGGG